ACCATAACATCGACTGATTTGCGTCCCCACTTTTAGTTTTTAGTTTTGGGTTTACCTTCTCTTCATTTAGGAATACTTCACCAACCTCTTCTTTATCTTCAAGGGAGGAAAATATCAATGCAGGTTCGTTGTCTTCTCGTATCAAGTTAGTTTCATGGCTCCTCTCCTTTCTTGGATTCTTACACTCAGCTGCGTAGTGCCCGAATTCCTAGCAGTTATAGCATTGTATCCCACTTTTATCTTGACTGCCATATGCTCCATTACCTCCTCGTTGGTGATGCGAGCCACCTCTTCCTCGACCGCCACGACCTCCATTATTTTGACCTCTACCTCTGCCTCGACCTCGTGAGCCTCCAAATCCTCCTCGATTCGACTTAGATTTGGAGTCACCTTCTCCCTTTTTCTTTGTTCTTTCGGACCACTCTTGATGAGTTAAGAGCAGTTTTCAATCATCACTTTCTCTATGCCCTTTCAATCTTTCTTCATGAGCTTTCAATCGGCTTATTACTTCCTCCACACTCATTGTGTCCAAGTCCCCAAATTGCTCAAGAGTTGAGGCAAATTGAAGGAACTTTGACGATACTGCCATGAGCAACTTCTTCACTACATAGCCTTCTTCTATAGTTTCTCCCAGAGTGCGCATGGTGCTGACTACATTGGTTACCTTCGCGGAAAAATCATCAACACTTTCTGTCTCTTTCATGATCATGGCCTCAAACTCAACTTTCAAGGTCTGAACTCTTGCAGTCTTCACTCTATTTGCCCCTACAAACATCGTTCGCAGGGCTTCCCATGTTTCTTTGGCCGATTTCTTCTCAGATAGTGACATTACAAACTCTTCAGGAATCCCTTGGTAAATGAATGCTAGTGCCATCTTGTCCTTCTTTACCTCCACCACCGTGTTGGCTGTTTGAGGCTCAACAACATCCCATACACCATGGGCTTGCATGAACACGCGCATCTTGATTGCCTATGCCCCGTAATTACTCCTGGATAACATCGGATAGTGGAGGGTGATTTACCCATCCTTTTCACCATTGCCATTGCTTCCCGACATCTTTTCACGAGACTGATACTTGGGCATACACCAGGTTGGGCTCTGATACCACTTTGTTGGTTTTGACAGGCTCTTCACAAGGTTCGTGCAGAAGAGAAGTAACAGGGGATAAAAGAAAGTTTTACAGAGGGGTAATTTAGGCAAAGGTTTTGTGATGTATTATTCAACTAGAAGAGATGATTACAACATACACAATGCCTAGGTATTTAAACCAATGAAAATGCAGAAAAATCGGGAATACTAACTACTAGCTAGAGACCAGGTAAGACATTCTTACGTGGCCTTGATTTATTCTTCCTAAACAAAAAAACGTGCTTAACAACTTTTGAATTACTTCAACAAGCTAACTCCATGTTACTAAACAGATGGGAAAGTTTTACGAGTTATTTGAAATGGATGCACATGTTGGAGCAAAAGAACTTGATTTGCAATATATGAAGGTAAAAAAGCTGTTTGATTTTGCCATTTTGGTGTAGAATAAGAATACTCTTTCCAATTTACATATATTCACAGAGGCTACTGTTTCTCAGGGAGACCATGGATTCCCATAAAAGAACTTTGCACTAAATGTAGAGAAGTTGTTGATATTCTTACATACATGTATATCAACCTAATATTCTTGTAGTCATGATATTATATGATATGATTGTAATTATTATTTGCTTGAACAGGGCTACCGTGTTCTGGTTATTGAGCAGACAGAGACACCTGATCACCTTGAGATGACACAGAGTGCAGTGTGTTGAGCTGCCTATTGTCCCAACTAAGACCAATGGAAATCATAAAACCTATCAAATCACTAAGCCCTGAACTGAAAGAGTACTACTAAGACAAACAAGAAGCCTTGTCATAAATGAGTTGATACCACTTGAAGAGTTCTGGGATGCAGAGAAAACTATGTGTGAAGTGAAGGAGATTTATAATCAATCATGTTTGAATGAATTCATGTCATGCTCATCTGATTGCCTACCAGAAGTACTCTCTGATCTAATAATGAATACAGGAAATGTTGGTAGTTATGCTCTATCAGCCCTTGGGGGCACTCTGTTCTACCTCAGAAAGGCCTTCCTGGACGAGTCATTGCTTCGATTTGCAAAGTTTGAGCCACTTCCATGTTCTGGATTCAATGACCATACATGCTTCTTGATGCAACTACTCTAGAGAATCTTCAAGTTTTTGAGAACAGTGTAAATGGAGACTCTAAAGGCTATCTTTTAAGTTTTTGAGAACATCATTGATTTTTTCACATTTACTTCCTAATCTCATATTATATCATATATCCATGATGCAAAGCAACTAAATCTTTGAGGTTTCTAAAATGTTTTTGGTCTCTGTACCAAGTGAAAATGACTATATTTGGGACTTCAATTGCAAAAATGAGATATACTCGGGGACTAAAAATGTAATCTGGTCATAGTTTTAGCCCAAATTGATATGTTGTGGTTGTTGAAATGGTGGTGCATGTAGTGTATCCTTATTGTTAACAACCATAGAGGCAACTGTTGTGGATCGTCAAGGAGAGAAAAACCCACTTGCAAATCGTATGCCAAACACGGATGATATGGGAATGGGATTCTGATTTTTACATTTTGAGGGGCAATAAATGGGTTATATCGAAATTAAATGTACCAAATTTTGATGTTTTATCTTCGAATATATATATATATATATATATATATATATATATATATATATATATATATATATATATATTTGATAATTTGATTTTTTACAACTGATACCAAATAGAGTATTTGAAGAATCATGACCTGGCCTATATAATATTATCTAGTATTATTACCAATTCATTATATAACCTTGTTCTTTTGGGGTATATCTCTATGTTACTAAATAACTATCATGATGATATACACCGAAAAATGTGTATTGTTTCATTCTTAAAACCGACTGTCATATCTTCATTTTCTCATTATTTAATCCATGTCAAAATCATATATATATATATATATATATATATATATATATATATATATATATATATAGATAGATAGATAGATAGATAGATAGATAGATAGATAGATAGAGAGAGAGAGAGAGGTTCAAATGAGAACCAAAAAAGGTTAAGAACCGTAAGAACCTTTAACTTTAGATGTTTATAAAGGGTTTAGGGTAACCCTAAACCCTTTATAAACACTCTAAACCTTAAACCCTAAACCCTTTATAAACATCTAAAATTAGAGATTCTTACGGTTCTTAACCTTTTTTGGTTCTCATTTGAACCTTTACCTATATATATATATATATATATATATATATATATATATATATATATATATATATATATATATATATATATATATATATAATCACTTTAAGAGCATACATTGAAATGCGTAAGTGATACAAAAGGAAAACCAAGAATATTAGCTCAACTTAAAACTAACTCGAAACAAAATAAAGATTGTTCGATTACAGCTACCTTAAATAAATATATAAATCCAAAATCGTTTATCCTTGAGTCTCCATCTTACCTCTTGAATCAAAATTCCGCCCGTTTTCCTTATTATGTAATTTTATATCCCTCTTCCAATTTTCATGCCTTATCAGTCTCTTCCTTTTCATTTCTGCTACATTTTGGTGAAAATCTCTATTGCCATGTGAGATTTCTTTTGCTTTGCTTCCAATTTCCATACCCTTTTATGGCTTTTCCATCTAATTGTAGTTTCCAAATTTACTTCTTTTTGCTTTAAGATTTTCAAATATGAATTTGGGAAGATTAATTTAATAAGATCCAGATCAACTTCCCCAATCCTTATTCATGTTTCTGTATCTATATATGCTAATGAGAAGAAGCAAGAACATGGGCCTCAAAAACACTATAAAATTCTTGTTTTGCTGAGTGTTTTCTATTTGTTAGTAGCTGCTACAATTTGTGAGAGTAAACAAAGTAGCAACACCCTTGAGATCATGATCTTCATTGTGTTGTTGATAGGATACATTTACATTCTCTTCTTCTTTTGTGAAGAATGAAACATTATCTTCTTTATTCAATGCTTTCTGATTTCCTTCATTGAAATGCTTCATGTGGGAACATAATGGAAAATTCATTTTCTTGAGGGTGATTATGGTAAAACTAATGAAACTCATTAGTTTTGGTAACCCTAATCCGAATTAATATTGCTTGCTTCCAAAGTAAGTAATGACGGCCCTACCCTAATGAAACCCTAATCGTGTTTAGTATATAAACAACTCTTCCTTTCCAGAAGACGGACGGTTTTTAGCTCTCGTTTTTCCATCACACATTCACAGAACCCTTTAGCACAATAGCTTACATTTTCTATGCCTAGAAACGTAGGTGTCCGCTTGGATTATCCTAGGCTGAATTTCTTGTAATGCAGACATAGGGTAGAAATATCAATTCGGAAAGTGATATCACGATCCAAGTTGGTATCCAGATCTCCACTGCTAACCCTAACTCTCCCAACATCCCATGAACGCCATTTATGTTCCTTTAATAGACCTGTCAAACAGTCATTGATTGAAAAAGTTGGGATTACAAAATTGGGTGTGTTTATTGAAGCCGGTAGTGGTTATGGTCAATCTTCGGATAACATACATTGTCATCATGGTATCACTTCAGCTGAGGTTAGTGTTACAAAATTTTTTATCAATAGATAATGTGATAAAATTTGTGACTTTGTTCTAGGTTGATAATATTATGTATTGTTTGTGACAGATTGGACAACTTTCAACCATTCCTCCGAAGAAAAGAACAAAAGAAGCGATTGAATTGTACAGATGAAACAAAAAGGATATCCCACATGAAGAATTTCATGGAGCTTTCATCTTAGAAAAGATTGGTTACCCAAAGTCAAAGGGGGAACTGAAATTGATCAACACCAATGTCGACAACAACCCATCTGTCGTATTTAACTACTTTAGCCACCCTGACGACTTAAGGAGTTGTGTTCATGGAGTTCGGATGATGGAGAAACTCATGAGATTGAAACCTTTCCTTAACTTCACTCAGTGTGACAACGAAACTGTCAACAAACTGCTTAATATGAGTGTCACTGCCAATGTCAACTTGATTCCTAAACATACGAATGACACAGAGTCACTCGAGCAGTTTTGTAAAGACACAATGATCACCATATGGCACTATCATGGTGGATGCCACGTTGGCAAGGTGGTGAACAATGATTATGAGGTTATGGGTGTGCATAAGCTTCGAGTCATCGATGGGTCCACTTTTGAGCAATCCCTTGGCACCAATCGTCAAGCGACTGTTATGATGATTGGAAGGTACTATAACGCATTTAATTTTTGAGTTTGTTATTGTTTGGTTTAAATTGGTGTATATTATGTATACAAAAATGTGTATTGACCCATGGGTATTGTGCAATGTAGGTACATGGGAGTGAAGATTTTAATTAAGAGAAAGGTTACGAAAAGAAGGATCGTGAAAATAAATTAATGCAATGTGGAATGGTGATCGTGATGCTGATGTTATTTTAATTTTGTGAAAATTAATTAAGATAGAAATTCTTTGCAAGGATTAGGCATCAAACATTTAGTTTGATGGTATTTGAATCGGTCTTTTAGACATTATACCTTTAAGATAACAACTTCAAATCCCCTATTTGCATTCTTTGTGAGAGATGTAGAATATATATTAACTCTGAGACTTTTAATTCTCCACTCCTATTGTATTCTAAGTGCTTTTGATATTTAAGTTGGGTACCAAGTTTGGTAGAGTTTCATTTGATTTCTTTTTGTATTCTAAGTATTTTTTGACATTTTAGTTGTGTTCTTGTTGAAATTTTGATGCTTGTTTACAATGTTAGAGAGACAACATCATATGCTTCAAGCTCCAAATCCATGAAACGTAAAGTCATGCATGTAACTTCATTATAGCTCGATTTGTTTTCTAATCATGAGGAATATGAATTTTCTTGATCATAAGTGTATTAGTTTGGTTTCTAATGATTGGTTAGTGTTTCACAACACCATATAGTCACCATTTGCTAATAGATGGTTGAATCTCACCTCCAAGTGTAGATTTAGGGTAATTCAAGCTCTAACTTCATGAACAAGTTGTATTATAGCATGAATGATTTGTACCTTGTGTTCCAGACATTATGGTGATCATATTTCATAGATTAGACGGTAAATTATTTCTAGCATCCCAATTTAGGAGTCAAAATGATGACCTATAATGAACTAGCATTTGATCCTTAGAATTGGACATTCCAAAGAGGATGATTATGGATTGAATTCAAGCGACCATTATGAAACGATTTGACCCCTTATTTAACTCATATAATCTAGTTGAACTATGGTTTTTGTCTACAACTTATGAGACTCCATGAATCCAAAGTGATTCTAAGGAGAACAGTGGGAAATTGTATGTCTCTAAACTATGGAATGGGAATGGATGATTCCATTTCCAGAAATAAAGGATTACACTCACTTGGAATGAAGTTCAAGAAATGATTGTGCGTCCTAATAAGTCATATGTTACCTTTTAAAAGGAAGTTAGATTGTCCGTTTTGGTCTTTGTTGGACATCATTGCAATTGATGTCTATCAACCCTTTTTGATGAAGTTTTATGTCTAAACTGAAAAGCTTAGCTTAATCCATAATCCAATAATGTTAGTGATGTTAAAAGAATGTTAATTCATGTGTATTCTGTAATGGAGTTTTAAAAATCTATCAATCATTAAAAATGGTTTAAAAAGGGCAGATGATCAAAGTACATTGTCTAAAAAGAAAAAGAAAAAAAATGGCCAACTCACGTGGTTCGCGTGAGATCCACATGAGCCGAGTATGCTTTCACAAGGTTATGGATACGAGGATATCCCATACGCCTCAAAAGTCATGAATCTTTTTATCTATTAATTTCTCATTTTAACAACTTTGGCAATATGGACTATACTTTATCTCTTAGAAATACTTCGGATACCATTTTAGGCTACTTTAACATTGTCAAATACCACAATTTATTTCATCAAGATTTTCACCTTCCATCCTTATTATTTTCATTTTCCTAATAAAACATCATACTTTCCTCGCAGGCTCGCAATATTTTGTATAGGTGTTCAAGTTTACCTCTCACCATCATTATAATTATCATCATTTCAATATTATTATCTTGTTTAGAAGCTTAACTTCCATTTACACACATTCCTCCTATTTTGACATCTTTCCTTGTCCTCTCATTACCTAATTATAGCAATGTACATATATCATATCTAAGATTTCCTCGTTCTTGCGCATAACAATTGCACATAGATCTCATCTTTATCAAGATACATTCAAGACCACAAGCTTAAATTTTATTTTTTATTATTTTATTTTTTTTAGATTTCCCCATATTTGACCAGAATTGACCAGAATAGATCGGGCTAATCAACTTCTTCCACTTAAACCCTACTTTCTTAAAACCCCCGTGGTTAGACTCATTTTACAGTGATAGTAGACTCATTCGGTTCGCTTTGTTTTTGGCTTCAACATCCCCACCACTCTGTTTTCGGCTTTTCACCAGCCATGTATCGGTTCGCTGCAACGTTAACTTCCTCGATCAAGTATTCGTCTTTCTTTCGATTCATTTCTTGACTTATAATTCATAGCTTAATTGATAATCAAAAATAGCTGATTAATTTATCATTATTTGTATGTAGGTCGTCCACATCAAGGAAGCTGGTAAGAATCCCGTTCAATTTTTTCTCCTTTTTGTTAGGTTTTCGAACTAGGGCAAATCTATGGCGAGGTTTAATGTTTGGTTGTTGTTGCTGTTGCTTCACTATGTTCGTTATTCTAATTCATTGAAGCTGTCGATCTTGATTCTGTTGAAATAATTGACATGGATGATTGGAAATGTTGGAAGGTACATGGTAGAGTCATTTGGAGCAGAAACTATGTTGCAAAGGATATCGAGTTTGGATCTAGGGCTCGTGCTGCCATGTTGCTTGGTGTAAACCAGCTTGCTGATGCTGTAAAGGTCACAATGGGACCAAAGGTAGCTTTCTTCAGCCTCCATATCCTTTTCGCCAATAAAATCATTCTTACACTCATGTGTTGCAATCAGGGGCGTAATGTGATCATTGAGCAAAGCCATGGAAGTCCTAAAGTCACAAAAGATGGTGTCACAGTAGCCAAAAGCATCAACTTTGAGGAAAAGGCGAAAAATGTTGGTGCTAATCTTGTAAAGCAGGTTGCAAGTGCAACTAATTCTGCTGCTGGAGATGGTAAAACAAAGTCAACATATGTGTATCCATTTGAATTATTAAACCTTTATGTTAAATGCCAAATTCTCATTTCATAAAATACAATGTCATTACAGGTACAACTTGTGCTACTGTTCTGACACAAGCAATATTCACTGATGGCTGCAAGTCTGTAGCTGCAGGTGTAAATGTTATGGATTTGAGAAGTGGTATTAATATGGCTATTGATGCTGTTATAGCTGATTTAAAAAGTCGAGCAGTAATGATAAGTACACCAGAAGAAATTACACAGGTTTTATGTTTTTCTTTAAATACTTCATGCTTAAAAAGCAATTGACAACTGAGTTTTTGTTGAATTTGAATTAGGTGGCCACTATATCTGCCAATGGAGAGCGTGAGATTGGTGAACTTATAGCAAGAGCCATGGAGAAAGTTGGAAAAGAAGGAGTCATTACAGTTGCTGTAAGATAAGAATTTAATTTATCATATAAGTATAATTAATTTGTTTTTTCAGATTTAATTGTTCAATAATCATGCAGGATGGTAATACTTTGTATAATGAGCTAGAAGTTGTTGAAGGGATGAAGTTAGGCCGGGGTTACATCTCTCCTTATTTTGTTACAAACACAATGACACAAAAATGTGTATGCATAAGCTATCAATTATATACATGAAGAATGTGTTTAATCAAATTTAATAATCATCAATTAGTGACATGTCTGTTTTTGCATGTAGGCAGGAATTAGAACATCCATTGATCTTTATTCATGACAAAAAGGTTTCAGACGTTAACTCGCTTGTCAGAATTTTGGAGCTCGCTTTAGGGGTAAAAAAGTCTTTTCTTCTCTGTGGATCAGTGACACATTGGATTAAGCTCCCTTTCTTTTAACCACTTTTTAACTTTTTATATCTTTTGAATTAAATTATTGGAACAGAAAAACAGACCCCTGTTAATTGTGGCTGAAGATTTGGAAAGTGATCTGTTGGCAATGTTGATTATTAACAAGCGACAAGCTGGACTTAAGGTGAGTGTCGTATTAAATACCATTAATACCCTTACATATTATTTCCATAATGAATTCAAGTGAAACGAATTTTACTTTTTACACATAGGTGTGTGCAATGAAAGCTCCTGGGTTTGGAGATAACCGAAGAGCCAATCTAGAAGATTTAGCAGTACTTACAGGAGGAGAGGTGAGAGAAACATCTATCTTCTTTAAATCATTCATAACCATTGATCTTTATGCACTCACAAGGGTAATATCGTAAATATGCAGGTTATCAGCGAGGAACGTGGGTTGACCCTTAATGATGTGCAGCTTGACAAACTTGGCACAGCTAAAAAGGTTTATGCTGATTTTTTTATTGTTGAAAAAAAAAAAAAACAAATAACTGACAACACCGAACCTTGTATTTAGGATTTAATTTTTGTGTGTGTACTAGGTTATTGTTTCTCTTGATGATACAATCATTCTACATGGTGGTGGTGATAAGAAGCAAATTGAAGAAAGATGTGAGGAATTAAGGTCAACCATTGAGAACAGTTCTGCCATGTTTGACAAAGAGAAAGCACAAGAGAGATTATCAAAGTTGTCAGGAGGTGTTGCAGTCTTTAAGGTATATATTAAACCATTTGGTTTTTTTTTTTTTTTTTTAAATTTTATGGATTAAAAATAAAATATAATCCAGGTTGGAGGGGCTAGTGAGGCGGAAGTTGGAGAAAGAAAAGATAGGGTTACTGATGCTCTTAATGCCACAAGGGCAGCTGTAGAAGAAGGAATAGTTCCAGGTAAATTCTTTTTGTATCTCATGCTATTTTTTTATTTTATAAATAATATGAGATACAAAAACCCTTGAAATTGAATACATATAATGCAATATGCAAATCATAGGTGGTGGAGTTGCCCTTTTACATGCTACTAGGGTTCTTAAAACCCTTCAGACTGCAAACGCGGATCAAAAAAGAGGAGTCGAAATTGTCGAAAATGCCCTTAAGGTTTGCTTTCCAACATCCAGCTTCCAGTGTGTTTTTTATAATTTTTGAGTTTTTTCTTATGTTTATTGATTTTGGGCATCCAGGCACCTACATGCACAATAGTCTCAAATGCTGGTGGTGATGGGGCCATGGTTATTGCCAAGCTTTTGGAGCAGAATGATCTTCAGTTTGGATTTGATGCTGCTCAAGGTTAATAAAAAAAATATATGGCTTTATGCATAAATCTGTGTTGTTTATTGATCAATAAAAAAAGATTTTGTTATAAGTTGTAAAATTGGTTCTTTTGTTTCATCAGGGAAATATGTTGATATGGTGAAGGCTGGAATTATAGATCCTCTAAAAGTTGTGAGAACAGCCTTAGTAGATGCTGCCAGGTAAAATTATTATTTCATTTAATGACTGTTTTCTAACCTGTTATCAGTAAATTATTAGAAAAAATTTCCATTTTGGTCCCTGAAAAATTACTATATTTGGGACCTAAATTGCAAAAATGAGATATACTCGGGGACCAAAAATGTAATCTGGTCATAGTTTTAGCCCAAATTGATATGTTGTGGTTGTTGAAATGGTGGTGCATGCAGTGTATCCTTATTGTTAACAACCACAGAGGCAACTGTTGTGGATCGTCAAGGAGAGAAAAACCCACTTGCAAATCGTATGCCAAACATGGATGATATGGGAATGGGATTCTGATTTTTACATTTTGAGGGGCAATTAATGGGTTATATTGAAATTAAATGTACCAATTTTTGATGTTTCATCATCGAATATTTTTTTTGATAATTTGATTTTTTACAACTGATACTAAATAGAGTATTTGAAGAATCATGACCTGGCCTCTATATAATATTATCTGTATTGTTTCATTCTTAAAACCTTCTGTCATATCTTAATTTTCTCATTATTTAATCCATGTCAAAATCGTATATGCATGCACTCATGCATATATATTTATATTTTTCTCATAATCACTTTCAGAGCATACATTGAGATGCGTAAAGGAAAAAACAAGAAAATTAGCTCAACTTAAAACTAACTTGAAACAAAATAAAGATTGTTCGATTACAACTGCCTTAAATAAATATATAAATCCAAAATCGTCTATCCTTGAGTCTCCATCTTACCTCTTGAATCAAAATTCCGCCAGTTTTCCTTATTATGTATAATTTTATATCCCTCTCTTCCAATTTTCATGCCTTATCAGTCTCTTCCTCTTCATTGCTGCTACATTTTGGTGAAAATCTCTGTTGCCTTAAGAGATTTCTTTTGCTTTGCTTCCAATTTCCATACCCTTTTATGGCTGTTCCATTTGATTGCAGTTTCCAAATCTGCTTCTTTTTGCTTCAAGATTTTCAAATATGAATTTGGGAAGATTAATGTAATAAGATCCAGATCAACTTCCCCAATCCTTATTCATGTTTCTGTATCTATATATGCTAATGAGAAGAAGCAAGAACATGGGTCTCAAAAACACTATAAAATTCTTGTTTTCCTGAGTGTTTTCTGTTTGTTAGTAGCTGCTACAATTTGTGAGAGTAAACAAAGTAGCAGCACCCTTGAGATCATGATCTTCATTGTGTTGTTGGTAGGATACATTTACATTCTCTTCTTCTTTTGTGAAGAATGAAACATTCTCTTCTTTATTCAACGTTTTCTGATTTCCTTCATTGAAAAGAGTCTCCTCACTGTATCACAAGCCAGATTATTAATTATAACACTGATTCTTCAAAGGTAAACAGGTGTTATGGAGGAGAGATTACATACATACCTGGGTTCGTTAATCTCATCGAATTCAAATTTAAATTCATGTCTGTCTCCATCCGGAATCTCGTTGATCATAAGCGGTTTGAAATCCTCACATTCATCCACCTGCGGCTTCACCTCCACGCAAATAGCGGAAGAATTCGGCGGCGAATTGTTCATGGTGGCCGCCCATGAATTTATCTCTTGGAGCTGCGCAACGTTATCATCTGCGCAACCGTCATCCTGATCGTTCAAATTCTGTTGTCCCAAAATATACTGTTCTTGATCATGATTATTATTGTGAATTTGCACATTATGATCTTCGTGTTCTTGTTGTTGCGTTATTTGGCCCAGGTCGAGATCAAGTCCGTGATTGTGATGATGATTAACGTTTTCGGTATCCAGATCGTCGTATAACTGTGGATCATCTGGATTGCTAACGAGATGAATGTCACAGTCTACACCATCGATTAATATCTGATCATGATGATGATGGAGGTTTTGGTTTTGGTTTTGGTTTTGATTTTGCACGGCATGTGCTCGACAAATTGCCAGCTGATGCAGAACGATCTCGAGCTCGGCTCGAGAATATTCGATTTGGCGATGGAGTTCCCGGATGATCCGGTAACACCCCTCGACGGGGTCCTGCGCACGGACGTCCGATTGGTAAATAATCGTCCGCATAGCTTCGTCTTTTTGGGGAGGATCAAGATCACGAATCAGTTTCGTAATGTTGCTAACACCGAATAATTTATGAGCGTTTTGGAATTGTCGCTGGCGATCGTGCGGAAAATATGGTGCGAGAATGCAGTCCGGAGCGCACTTCCGTCGTTGGTAGCGGCAGGCGGCACACGCTTGGGTGGTGGAGTTTGAACGGGCGGTGGTGATGGTTGAAGAATTGGAACGGTTGGTGGTGGTTGTGGTTGTGGTGGTGGTCGGGGACGGGAGGAGTTGGTTGTGGTGGTGGTGGTGGTGGTTAATGATTTTGTTTTGATTGTGGTTATTGGTCATAATTGGGTGTTGATTTAAAAAAGTTTCTAGAAGAGACGCGGGTGCGGCTCCGGAGGAATTGGAGGTTCTGGACAAGGAGACAAATTTCTGATTGCAAAGAAAATGACGGCAGCAATTGGGGGTGGCGTGGGGGTTATTTTTGAAGAGAAGAGGTGGTGAGGCTAACGGTTTTATCGTGCCACGTGGATATTACGGTTGCTTAACACGTGACTTTTATTTTATTTTCTTTTCTACTTTTATTTTATTAAATACGTGTGTGGCTAAAATTATAAATAAAATACTTCCCCGAAAATAACGGTAACCTCTTTTACTCATTCCTTTGGTCAACTTATTCATTTTTAAAATCATTGCATGTAACTAATTTTAATAAAAATAAATAAATAAATAAAAGGTTTGTTGATATATCGATTTTGCTTATAAGTTTTACCTTTTTTTGGCATGTAACTATTTACAACGTACAAGAGTATCTCAGTGCATGGAATATACAACAAGGTAAAAAATGTGTATCAAGTCTATGCGTTATCAAGAATAACAAACATTGAGTTTAGTGGAAGTGAGTGGGAGTGGGAGTGGGAGTGGGATTGGGCTAGGCCAATCATTTCAGGAACTCCCGCTATACATCGTCAACAGATGCAAGAACTACTTTCCGTATGTCAATTTTCGAATTCTTATCATAAACGGGTTTGAAATTCTGGTTTAACCGATAACTTTTCTGTTGCAGAAGTTAGAAGAGGTATTGATGTTTTTATTCTTACGGAAAGTAACATTTCTACAAGGTGAAACAAGTTCATTCTAAATGAAGTAAATATATCCAATTGGCGTCTTCTATTAATGAGACTTCCTAATAGGTTAAATTTGGATTTAAAAGGTTTGGATATTCCTACTATTGTTTGTGGCATTTGCAATTCGGATATTGAAGACAACACACATGTTTTTCTTAAAGTGGTGTCGCGCCTAAGGAGATTCATTGAGAACTGGTGTGACATGAGCATTATGGCTGACATTGAAGTTGTTATTCTTTGGATTGATACGGTTCCTTTTTCCATTATGAAAATGAAGGGATTGGAAGCTATTGTAATGGTAATGTGGTCGCTTCTTTGGAATTTTCGAAAGAACATTCTTTTTAGTCAACAGAACAGTTACTAGGAATTCTTTGATTGATAGATTGATCGACTGTTCTTATAATTGGTTTGTTATTAAGAATAAACGAATTAATATCAATCAAGTATCATGGATGTTAAATTTGATTTTTTTTTATTCCTATGTAATTATATGTTATCGTTTTGCTAACATTTCTAATCAAATTATTTAGCCGTTCAAAAATAATGATAATAATAACTAAGATTGATATTTATAGCATAATACTTTGTACTTTGTGACTAATAGTTATTAGTATAGAGGAGGATTGGGTAAATGCTTTAAATTCAAATCATAGCTTGTAGTTTAGACCAAACTAGGGAAGAGCCCCGCTTTGCGGGGTTGGATCCGTTATAAAAACCTCTCTAGGGTCAAAATGTGAATTTAAGTTTTTGCAGAGACATTAATTTGCTTTACAAATGGGCAAAAAAGGAATTTTACAGAATTTCAAGGTTGATAAAAGATCTAAAGACCAAACAAACTCATTCTACTCGGATAATCCATAAAAAGAAAATTAAAAAAATACACTTGTAATGGTTTCAAAATCTCTATCACAATAAACATTTACCTAGAAATACCCTAGAAGCATCTACAAGACCTGAATTTAATAAAAAAGAGCATTAGTAGACAACAAAATGACAAAAATGCCCTTGTTCAAGTTACAAATTTACAGTCACTTCCATTATAGTATTAAATTTGTGTGTTTGCTACACGATTCATCCATCTGACTTGAGTCCATGTTATAACTAACAAAACAACATAACTAATTAATTTACTCCCCTAAGACATTAAACAAACATATACACAAAAATACACAACAATATTATGCAGAAAAAATCTTCAGTATTTTGATTTTCTGGAGATATATTCATGCTGATAATGTACAAACAAATCCTTCTCTAATGGTTGCGCCCCATCCAAGCTTACTATTTTTGTCATCTAAGGGAAGTAATTTACAGATTCTTATTGTTTAAATTTGCTCCATAAAAGAACAAATGGAACAATGAAGATGGTTGTAATCGGAATAACAGCTAGCTATTTTGGATGATAAAAAAAAAAGTATTTTTTCAACAGGATCAGAATAACAGTAAAAAGTTTTTTTTTTGGATAACATTGCTATTAGTGGATAATTTGTTAAGAATATCTCAATGATGTGATTGGTAGAATAACCATATTCAGTGATGCCAAATGCGCTACTAAGAAGGTACTAAATATGAAAAAATGACTACCTGTTTGAAGTTTAGCACCCAATCATGATTCACATTTGGTTGTTTTCTTTTTGGTTTTACCCTTTCTCCAGGAATCGTATCTTCTATAGTTTCATAGATAGGCAGAATATCCTGAAGATAATCAAAGGGGTGTTAATGTGGTATCACAAGAAAGGCATATCTAGTATAAATTGTATAAATTATCAAAAGGTTCCCGATCCAAATCTGATCAAATAAAAGGTAACTGGTACACGTCTCTAGTTTAGGTCTTATGTTACGAAGATGGAAAAATAACTAAACGAACGGAACCATAATGTAAGTTAATATTAAAGAAAATAACCCAAAAAAGTTGAAAAATAACCATAAGTTCGGAATGGAATCGTTTAAAATTGAATAAAAATGGTAATTTAAGAGTATATTCACATTAAGGAAAACTTAAAGTAATAACTAACCAAATAAAGGCACATAAGAACCTGAAGACAAAAGATATCACAATGGATTTTGTGAAACTACACTAAAAAATTAACAAGAATTTTGTTTTTTATGATCTAGGATTGCACCAATCAGGTCAGTTGACTAAGTGACTATCTATTCCCCGGTGTCTTTTTGTAACCACAAAATTTTATAATGACAGATTTTTTTGATCAGAAATGTCATAATTTGTTAGGTGATGGTGGTCTTTTGATTCCTTTCTATCTTAAAATGTATAAATAAAGTATGGTAGCTCTTTTGTGGTTGTTAGGGTTTTAATGTGTTAAATGTCAGAGTATGAGGTAAAATTAAGATGGCCATAAAAATGACCTCTAAAATTGTTTAAAACCCAAATATGATTTCTAATATTGCATCTTATGCACCTTTCTAGTTTTACATTTGATAAGTAGTACCAAGTGAATCATATCAAATACTAACTTTGTTGTTTTGAATCCAAGGTGCCAATATAACACAAGCAATCACAAATTCACAGTCACAATATATATGCAGTAGGGAACCAGAAGCAGACACTCAATACTCGAGAGCATTAAAGGAATAAGATGCGATGTGATGCTTTCAAGGTGACCAGGTCAGACTCGTTAGTCAAGAAAGGAAAGAAGCCTTCCTCCGTCATTGCTTAATTTAGTTTGTTGCTGCTTAATTTAATGGTAGAATTCGTCGATCAACCACAACAGGAGGGAGAGGGAAGAATAGAAAGGGCTTCGTTTTGTCTAAGTTTCTTCCATCACCCAAACTTAGATCAAGAAATTTTCAAAGAAACACCAAACAAATAAACAAATCAGTCTCTTGAATGAAGTAAACAATTCCAAAACATGTAATTAATAATAAAAAATAATTTCTTATTCTTCTGGACAATCAAAACGTTAAATTTATTTAAAAAAAAAAAAAGAAAAAAAGAGGGGGGGGGGGGGGGGGGGGTTTGAGGTGTGTAGCAAATTGGGGTCGCGTCTCTCTCCCAATTTGATTTGCGTTAATTCCAAGCTCATTAAGTCTGTTGATGACGATGCAATGGAAGATGAAAGAGATGAACAATTACCTTAGCATTCGATCCTAGGGCTCCAAAATCCATCAAAGCACAATGACAATTCTAACTTACAGATACGGCCACCGGTGTTACAGACCACCTAGGCCCTTGTCCTCTGCTTCACTACTTCCTGAGGAGACGATGATCTACGCCTTCGAATGATGGGATTGAGCACAGGTCAGGCAATAACCCTTCCATTTGTAACTCCAAATAACACCACCGCCGCTACTGCCGCTTGCTGATTGCTTTGTTATTACGTTTCTGTCTTGGAGGCGACAAAGTAGAAGGGTGGAGACGGTGGTCTAGAGTTGCTTGAGGCGGAACCACTGTGGAGGATTAAACCAAAGTGGGGAAGGCGAGCAGGGGAGGATTGACCCGAGGAATTAAAGATGTGAAAAGTAATGGAGGAGATGATGGAAACAGGAAGAAAAAATCGATTAGTGGGAAGAAGCGGTTGGAGCAGGGAACAACAGGGTTGGATGGAATCTGCAGCTGGAACAAATGAGAAGTAGAAGATGCGGTCAGTTGAGCGGTGATAGAGTTTTTGTTGTCAGTATCTAATTGGTATCAGCTAGAGGTGGGAGCAACGGAGAACACGTATCAAATATATATAACAAAAAGTAAATCAGTATAAGAAAAAATAAAGAAATTTCCACCAATAGGAAGCAGATACTGTTCAAGTGACCATTAGTATGTATATATAATTATGCTTGGCCAAGGGATTTATTAGGAAATATTTGGGGCAAGTTTGTGAAAATAAAAAGCTAAAGATAGAGAACCCTCCCAATGTAAGCAGAGTGTATGCTTTTTTTTTTTGTTTTTGAACAACTAAGTATTCAAATATATTTAAAGGGTTCTAGCAAGAAAGTAGAATAAAAAAAACAAGTATTAATTACAAAGGAGAATGTAACCAAGCATTTCAGCTAATATTTTTTTTGGAAGTTCTACTGTTTACCCAATTAAAAGAATTTAAAACTATGAAATCAAAAATAGTGTTTCTATGAATTGGATTGTTATCAAACAAGACCGAATTCATATGTCTTCATAACACTCAAACTGTTTTCAAAATAATCACCTCCAAACATTGTTTTTCCACCACTATTCTCTGTGCATCATCCACCCAAGAAAGTCATTCTGAAATAGACCCTGACAACGGAAACACCACATTACACCATCGATCCACCAGCTTCCAAACTTCTTCCACTACTTCACATAGAAAAAACCGATGACATATTGTTTTAGTAACACATTCACACATTGGACAAGGTAGATATTGTTGGGGTTTTGGTCATAAGACATCCTATGTGCTCATACAAACCCTAATGCTTGGATCTAGGTTTCTCTATTGTACATGCTTTGAATCCAAGACTATAAACCCTAATTCTAGCATACATATAATCATATTAACATGAGAATAAGTTTATAGTGTTACCTTGATTGTTATGTAGCAATAACAATCCTAAATCTCCTTGTATTGACTTTGGAATGCTTATAGTCACAAGTGCCACTCCTCTAATGGCTCACAAACACCATAAGCAAGAGGATGAAGAGGAGAGAGGATGGAGGCTGCCAAAACGTGTGTAAACCCTTACAAGAACCTTAGCCACGTTTTTGAGCCTTAAGGGGTCTTTATATAGTTGGGCTATTAGGGTTATCTAACAAGAAAACCCTAATTTGGATGCTTAAGCCCTAAGCAACCCATAGACTCCTTTTATTAAGCCCATGGACGATTTCCTTATGGTTTTCCCATTAGAATTCGTCCATCCCTTAATACAAGGCAATCCATGGCCCAAATTGCAATTATCTTATAATTACAATTCCAGTCCCTTAAGTTTAATTAATCTTTTTTAGTTACAAAACTAATTACCAATTAATTATTGACTAATATTAATTAAACAATATGATTTCTCCTTTAATATATTATTCCCATAATATATTAATAAATCATATTTAATCCTTACTCTCCATAATTCATCCTATCAAGTTGCTTTGGTGAAGGCAACCCAAAAGGACCATGCACCATCGGGTCAAGTACATACCAAAATAGTTATGGACTTAGACACTAATCCAACAGTCTCCCACTTGGATAAGTCTAACAACTATTCTGCGTATGACTTCAGATCCTGATCTGCAATCGTAGCTTTCCAAAGCCGCTGTCAACTCTGATCATATCAGATACGTGTGTCCTTAGATAAGGGATCATATATTCCTCCATTCTAGATATCGTTTGAGATATGATTTCTAATCATTCTCTTTGTACTACTTCTCGATTTCTGATTTATGAC